CCGCTGCCTGTCTGGCATTATTTATATTTTGCAACTAACCTCCATGTGTGGATGTCGTCCCTCCATCATCAATCTGGGGACGGGGTATATATAGAAATACAATATATACCGTGGAACTGTGGCTAGCTTAAGCAGCTGACTATGCCACTAGGAGCGAAAGGGCGCTGATATGTTGTATGTTTCTGAAACAGGCGAAAAGCGGATACCTATTTTATATTGCGACAATGCATTTCACTAACTTGCCTCCATTGCCGTATGAACTTGTGCAAGTCCTGATTCAGAGGAATGCAAATAATTTCTGATTGTATGTTTTCAATTTCTCTCTTTTATATTGCAGGCTCTTATGGTTCGTCTTCGAGATCATCCAAGTGGAATACTGGAAACGTAGTTCGACACAAAAGGAACGACTTTCCTGTCGACAGCATTTCAACACTTTGCACTCAATACCGAGGTCACTTTGCAGCCCAGTGTTATGGTTGCAAACCAAAGAATGGACAGACGCACATCGAGGCTTTCTGTCGCAACTATCACTCGCAGTGCAACCGAATTCCTTGTCTGAACACCTCTGGCAGGCCTTCGCTCAAACCCGGGGCTATCGCCACTACGACCGAGATTCCGTGGCCACCTAACGCGAACAACAGCAGGGTCGTCTGGCGGCTATGCGAGAAGTACAAGTACGCATTTCGAGTCATCTGCCGTGGATACGAAGTCCAGGATTTGCGTCCGTACTGCAACACGTACCGCGTGTACTGCCTCAACGTCAAGCCATTTCCGATCATCGAGGCGAACATCGGTTTCAGCGAGCTGTGGGGCATCTCCGGCATTCCCTACTACCCGTTCAACAACGAGGGCTTGATAATGGCCGGAAGCCGCGAAATTCACGATTTCGGCGACTGGGGATATTCGAGCTCCAAGGTCAGTGGCATACTGGACTTCTTAGCGGCCACCGGTGGAGACAATGCCAACTGGCAGAGCGGCAGCGGGGGCATCGCCAGCGGCATTCCACTCGCCGGCTTCGGCTCGGAAACCACCGGCATCATGTCGAGTATTTTCAGACCAAGATACGCGAAGCTGATCATGGATTTTGTGAATGAAATGGTCGAGGCAGGCATCATTTTGCGAATGCCGTGGCTCCCTTGATTGTACCCTCTTCAATGTACGATATTTAGTCTTACGATAAAGCTGTCTACTAAATGTTTGACGACGGAAACCAATTCACTCGCTGAGTACGCTAACGAAAGATGAAACTAAAATTGCTCATTTTCGTTACTGTCATGAGCATATACGTTATTTGAGCAAAAGCATTGATACAGTGCTGTCGTAGATATATGAGTCATAGTCGGGAGGGTGGTGAGAGTCATATATAATGCAACTTTGGCCTTCAAAAAATGGTGTGGATTCGATGTCAAGGGTTAAATGCTGGAATGTACACTGAAATCGCATATAA